TGGAAGACCGCTGGTACATACTAGGTGTTTAGGGAATATTTGTTGAGTGGATGGATGAATACGTTTAGTCACTGCTCAGAAAGAAAGGGAGAACCATTACTATCTAGTCAAACCAGGGACATTTGTACTGGATGTCATCATATCCTGGGAAAATGTATTGAAGACAATGGAACAGTTAAATATTTTAGAAATTCTTTCCTGCTTTAAAAACAATTGACACTTTTAAAGAATATTTTTAGTTCTCATTTTAGCTAAGGGAAATGAAATAGTCTGTACATGTTTGAACTTTCTCATATGAAGCCCTATCAGTTGAAAAATGTGAGAGTATGTTCTGGTCATGGCAAAAAGCAACTGTGATTCACAACTGAAAGCATCCAATCTAGTTGTTTTGCTCAGAGCAAACTCTGCTGCACACTTAGAAACCCTTCAGAACAGATTTTATAATTGAATTCTGCAGGAAACCTTCGCGATTGTCACTGTGCACAACATGCTGAAATGATAGATTATGTCCCCAGGGCTTGGGTGTCTGTCATTTATGCCCTAGGTGGCCTTGACCTTGATGAGAAGGAAACATTTATCTCCGACTGTGGAATGTAATTGTTCTGAAAAAATAGAACAGTGCTGTAAATGTCCATAAATAAAGTTTATATACAGTAAACTCTAATATGCAATATACATGGAAAATTTTGAACACTATTTTTTAGCTGAAGTCAAAATGTTAATGTATTAAACACAGAATTTTAAACCCACCTTATTTTTTAAAAGTTTTAAAGTATTTCCTTTCTCTCTCCTTCCCATCCCTTCCTCCGTCCCTCCCTCCCTCTTTCCTTCCTTCCTTTTCTTTAAAATAACTTTACTCTTTGATATTTTTAATGCACTGAAATATATTCTGTCATTCTCTTCCCTTACCTTCCAACAAAGTCAAACACACTTGCTCCAAAGATAGACAAGTTTTCTGTTCATTCTTAAATTGGATAGCTTAACCAGATGCCCTGAAACCACTGCCAGGTTGTCTCCTGTTGGGTCACTCACGTGTCTCTCTTCTGTCACCTACAGAACACTCTGAAGGGGAATCTCTCTTCTACATTGTGAGTCCCAGAGATGTTGTAGTGGCCAAGGAACGAGACCAAGATGATCACATCGACTGGCTCCTTGAAAAGAAGAAATATGAAGTTGTTTTGATTTTACTTTTTTGAAAATGTTGACTTGTCTATGTTTATATAACATAGAATAAAAGATTTCTGTAGTAAATCTTTCAGGTAGTCAAATTAGAGTGACCCAAGACAAGAATATGTAAACTTACAGTGCGCCCTTTCAGAAATTAGGGAACACAAAGATTGCAATGAAGTCAACTGGCTTCACTGCTCAAAGAGGGAGGAGTTGGTAGCGGAGGGGTTGAGGGGGTTAGCTAAAGCCTGTTGAAATTTTTATTGGGGAATTTTTTTCAAAAAAATTAAAATAGAGCTAGTATTTCAGAGTTAATATTTGGATATTTTAGAGAAATTTTGTAATGCATATTTCATATGTAAAAGTAAAGCTATCAAATTAATATTCACTTAGGGTGGTTTGAACTACCAGTTTGGATAGAATGATGATGTCCACTTCATTGAGTCTTGGTTTAGACTAATTTGAGTAGATAATGCCCCAACATGACTTTTTAAGAAAAAAAACGATTTTTCAACTTTAATAGCTGCAAAGGCATTATTGTGTTAGTTTAGTTAGAGGAACTATGTAAATGGGTTTATATACTAATCAGCTAAAAACAACAACAAATAGTTTATCTATATGTTGCTCTAAATTTGTAGTTACCTGGAAGGATTTGGGAAAAACAGTTTTTTTAAAATTTATAAACTATTGAGAGTCCAGGTATTGGTACCTAGTTTGTAACCCAGTTATTAACATATTGCTTTAGATTCAATAGTTTCTTAAAGAAATAATTTTATGTTTTAAACTTTTGCTATTGTTTTTGAGTTTTTAGATTTAATCCTTAATTAGTTGAGTTTATTTGTTTGTTTGTTTTTGGCGGCTGGCCAGTTTGGGGATCCAAATCCTTGACCTTGGTATTATAACACTGCAGTCTAACCAACTGAGCTAACCAGCCAGCCTTATTTTAAACATACGGGAAAGTTATACTTGCAAACTTTCTAAAACAAAAGCAAAATCAGAGAGTTTCAAAAACTTCATTGTAGATATACATCAATGTATGCATATGGTTTATTTTTTTATTGAAACATGAAGGAAAAGTGCCCCTATGTTGCTATATCTCATACAGCTGTAGAATGGCGGATGCCTTTTATTTTTTAGTTTGGAGACTAGGAGATTTTGTTGTATTTTGACTTGTGTCTGAAATGTGACTCCAATATCCTAATGTGGAAATCAATTCAAATGGAAATGAAAGAAGTCTTCATTTTGGTTGACTGCCTTTGTTTTAGTTTGAATTCTGTGAGGTTCATTCAACCATAGCATTAAAAATTCCAGTGCTTCAAGCAAAAGTCCAGGGAAAATGGGGCTTTATTCATGTAGTTCAGAACATTAAAACATAAGAAATGTAATGTTTATAACCTCAATGTCTTTCTTTCCCACTCTTTCTCGTTTTCCTTCCCTCCTCTCCTGCTCTTTTTATCATGCTTATGTAAATAATAGGAAGCTCTGATGGCAGCTGAAATTAGCCAAAAGAACATTAAAAGACATAAGATTCTGGTAAGTGCATTTTTATTATTTGAAGCATAATTTTATCTTTCAATAAGTTTTAATGAGACTGAAAATAATTTGAAAAGAAAAGGTTCTTCTATCTTTTGAGGATTTATTTCAAACTAATTCTCTAACCTGTGAGGTCGAAATATTTCATTTTATTGAATCAGTTTCTGCTTATAAATAAGAGACTTGAACACCTGCTAGGAAGTAGAGAGAGTTTTTGGTTATTTAGAAACTATATTTGTGAAGTACCCTTTAAATACAAAGCTTTCCAGTTATGTGTGTGGAAGTTTCTTTAAATCATAGGTCAAATCACATTATCATAAAATTTATCAAAAGAGTGGCTTTGTAAAACTAGATTGCTTCAGTGTCTCCATAATAACAGACTCAACTGATTTTGTTATGGAGACTGATCTAGGACATCAAATACATTTTTATTACATTCTGAACTCTGGAAAAATGTAGTGACTGAAAGCCTGTTTCTTTGCTCACTATGACAAATGTGCAGATGGAGAGCAAGAAAGAAATCATGTCTGTTGTGTGTAAAGTGTCATTAGAGATCATTAGCCCAGTATCCTTGTTTTGCAGATGAAAACAGGAAACTTATTCTTTTATGACTATTTGGGTTTCAGCACAAATTCCTTCTGCTTACACTTTTCACGCCTTAAACTTATCTGTAAAACTTCCCATAAAAGCCTTATTTCCAAAGTGTACACAAGGAAAATAATTTAGGAATAAAAGGAGGACAGAAAACCAGAACATATTTTTTTGTTTGTTTGAATCAGAATTGTGGAGAATAAGTGAGGATTCTCTAGAAATGGGAGAGCAGGCATTCCTGCCATTAGAATAACATATGTGAAGATGCAGAGGCATGAAGGGACTCGGCCTGCCTGATCATGTGGGCAGTTGAGGGGTGTACTTCACAGGTGGCACAAGCCAGACCCTGCAGGGCCATCTGTAATTAGGAGCTTGGTTCTATCTTGGAACCTTTAGAAGACAATTTAAGCTTTTAGCACCACATCAGGTTTCTCTGTTAGAAAGATTGTCTGGTGGAGAGAGGAGGCCAGCAGGAGGCCAGCGGAGCCAGAGGTCAGTTGGGAGGCTGCTTGGTAGTCCAGATGGGAAGCGAGGAGACCAGAGTCAGTAGGAGTGCAGAGGCGCAGGTAGCTGGAAGATGGGACGAACACGCGACTCGGACCTGGTGGCTGACTCCACGTGGACACGAGAGTGAGAGCAAGACTTCTCGGCTGACTCCCAGGCTTTGGGCTTGGGCATCAGGGAGGGAGGTGCCACCATTCACTGCTGGACAAAGGGAGAGATGGAGACTGGAAGGAGGAGCAGAGTGGGACTGGGAGAAATTATGAATTCTGTTTTTGACACATTGAGTTTTAGGCATCTACAGGACATCCTGGTAGAGCCCAGGAAAGAAACTTGGACGTAAAGATAGATTCAGAAGAGTTTTCAGCCAACAAGTGTCATTGGAGCACGTGTGCTTGGATTATCCTGCACAGGGCGAGTATGTAGTGTCAGAAAACAGCCCTGTGAATGGAACCATCGGGAATGTGTATGTATTACTTATTCTCAGTCGTTTATAGGGAGTGACAAGTGAATAGGAGACTATAAAGTTGAGTTGAATACAGACCGTCAGTGTACTGTGAGGTGGAAGAGAGTGAAGACTAGCTTGAGCTATGGCATTGTGGGGTGGTGGTGGTTGTTGCTGGGTGTTTTGTGTAAGAGACACTTATGCTTATACTCAGGGAAAAAAGAGAAAACAGGGTTGACGTTAAAGGTGTACAGAGAAAGAGAAGTGCAGGATAAGCTCATAAATGGGGAGGCGGCATGGACATGAGGAGAAGGGTTGGAAGGACCGGTTCTGAACCTCAACAGGGAGACCCTCTGTAGAGACTGTGAGATGTGATCTGTCTTCAGAGCAATAGAGGAAGTCAGGTGCCTTTTCTTCACTTGAGTTCCTATAGATTTGAAATACAATTTCCCACATAGTAATCATTAAAGTAAAAACTCAGTAAACTAAAAGCTATGTATGTTTCCCTTCACTCCTGAAACAGGCATGTCCTATAAATCACGTGTAGAATTTTTTCTCCTAGTGCAATGTAATTTCCTACCAGGCATGCAGAGAAGAATTGGGCTCCTGCCATTTCTGCCATTTCTCGTGCACACCTTTTTTGTACATAAAGTAGAAGTTAATATTCAAGTTTTGTTATACATACTGAGTTTAAGCTTTTCCAGAAAATGCTTTTAGGTGGAAATAATATTTCATAAGAAGAGTCATGGGCAGATAAGCCAGGACTGTCCTCCCAGGCTGCTTGTGGCACTGGCCACCCCGAAGCCTTTCAGAACCGAGGTGAAATAAGTGAATAGACGTGAATACTCTGAAGCCAGTCAGTTCCCAGCTTTCAGCTCAGTTTCTTCATCTGTAAACTTATGGGTTTGAATTATCTGTTTTCTGGAGCTCACTTTTACTTTACTATTAACTTTAATATTTCATATTCTCCTTTAATATGATAATCTGTCATTTCATTTTTTCTTATAGCATTTCTTTAGACTTTGGATAGAGGAGACAAGTAGCTCACATTTTACTGATGAAGGCACACGAAGCAGAATTTCATATCCATTGACAACATGAAAGTGTTGGATCATGTTTCTAATATGATTTCCTTTGTAGAAAATCTCTTAGAGGAGGGCAGATTAGGAGGCTTTAAAATAGTAACATTACTTATTTAAGTATGAATAAGCTGAAGAAAGAAGCAAGCATAATTACATAAAGCAAACAGGTTGCAGTCAGTAGTGCTGAGGCCTCGTCACTGCGCCCAGCTTTTCAGTTCCAGTTGAATTATGAGATTTCTTCATTTACTTTTCCCTAGGATATTGGCTTGGCATATATAAATCACCTGGTGGAGAGAGGAGACTATGACATAGCAGCACGGTAATAATTACATCTCCACAATTATTTGTTAATATAAATTGACCAGTGTTAATAAAAATAAGCTGTTCTTTGCAGTTGACATTTTATTTTTTTACATTTTTCTAACAAGGGCAATTTGTGGATATTAATGGTTTCAACCACAGAATGGATTAATGTATATTATTTCCCCAATTACTATTTCATTTTTGCCAAAGGAGAATTGTTTTTCTCAATTTTTAATGAGAGGGTGTCAAGAACCCTGAAGGAGCTGCGATCTTACCCTGGTTATAAGCTAACAAGTTAGCCTGCCACAGTTTCGTGGGTGCTGGCAGGAGACATGAAACTCCTGGGTCAGAGACAAAGGACTATCTCAGCAGTAATAGCCAGAATACTACTACACCAATCATAATAACCAGAGTATTAGCACTTGCCACAGAGCCTCAAGCCCCACTTCCTACAGCACACCAGTGTGACCAGGAGACCCTGCCTTTACAGTGCGTTGTGTTACATAGAGGAACCCTGAGCTTAGGATATCTGAATCTCTCCTAATGGGCAGTAAGCCTTCAAGCCCTTTACCTTAGAAGAGGATGTTACCCTTATTATACTAGACTATAAGCAAACCTGCCTTTTGCTCTGGAGGGAGACACTGTGTCCACTAATTTCTAGGCCTATTTCCTATACAAGCATCCTTGAAAGATAGTCCAGAACAAGGTGTCTCTGCTCACAGTTCAAGGAGAATCATTCCCAACAAGAGTGTGACAGTTAAATGAAAGTGATCAGGTCCCAGGGCCCCAGGTTGCAGGGGTCTGTGGTGGGCAGAAAACAAAAGTGCTATGTAGTGGTCATGTGGTCCATGTGAGGGGCTCCCACTGGGGCTGTGCAGTGCTGTCCACGTGATGGCGTGATAGCCCTGGAAAACTGCCTTCAGGCCTGCTTGTAGTCAGTCCTCTAGATTATTTAAGAAAATGTGTTTCTTTGATGTGTAAAGTAACAAACAGTCCTCCAGATTATGTGCTATGATGGGATTCTAATTTTCTGAAGTCTGATTTTGTAGTCCATTATTTCAAGCCATTCAGGAAGGATCTGGCGCTCTGGGGTATGAGGAGTTTTCTCATGGTGAGAAAGGTCCCCAAACCAGAAGTTAAACCATCTAGATAAATAGGATATTCAGAACAGGAAAATCATTAGGAAAACCCCTAATTGTAGTCTTCTGAAAGAGATTCATATTTGTTTATAAGTGTTTTTTGTTAATTTTCGTGATTTCTGTCAACCTGTGTATGCACCAAGTAACAGTAATACGTTTGTGTTTTTTGGTACACGAGATAGAAATTTGTCAAAACTCTGGGAAGAGAGATTTATCTAAACCCCTGGGGAAAATGTCTACTTATTTTGTCTCTGTTTACTTTTTTATTTATACTTTCTTCCTCTCTGGGATGTTTTTGCTGCCAGCAAATGCCAGAAAATTCTTGGGAAAAATGCAGCACTCTGGGAATATGAAGTTTATAAATTTAAAGAAATTGGACAGCTTAAGGTAAGTGAAGCTTTATTTTTAACTCTTAATTTTTTTTGTTTTCTAATAATTTATTTTTAATTGAAATTTATTGATTTACATATTTATGGGGTACAGAGTTTTACTTTAGTACATGTATACCATGTATAATGATCAAATCAGGGTCATTCATCTTTACAAAAATGTATCATTTCTTTGTGATGTTAACTCTTAGTTTGTGCATGTAGTATATTAATATTGAGATGGAATTAAAATCAAGATAATAGTAATCAGTTCTTCATTAGGTAGTATTATCTCAGCTGGAAAGAAAAATCAAACTTTCAGAAATTAGATTCAGAACATACATTAAATATGTGATATGTTCACTTTCTTTCTGGTTCTCTCTGAGAGACTTAGTTTAGACTAAGTTTAGACAAGTTCTTTTTAATGACTTTGGAAAACAGGTATCATTCAGTAGATTGTAAAATATAAGACTTTCAGATTTGCTGAAAAATTAATCTATTTTTTAAATAATATTTACCTGCTGGAAGACAAGTGGAAAAATTTGACCACATAACTCTAATGAATAATTCTGATATTTCATTTAAAAAAAAACTTTCAATTTAGTGCATCATATCTAATCAAAGCATTCCTATATTTGTTTAAAATATTTTTAAAATTTTTAGTATTTG